TTTTGTTTTTCGTTAATCTTATAATGTTTGAAAATTAAAGGATTAGTTAATTGAACAGTTAAATCATTTGCAATTTCTGTTACTTTCTCTTTTTGAATTTCAGCCAATGTTGGTAGTTGCGTTTTGCAATTCAGACATTTTTTTTTCGATTTTTAATGTTTTGTATATTGCAACCGGGACATGTTTTCATCTTGGCAGTATTGGTTGAAGTAGATGCTACAAGAGAATCGATAGGGTTAGTGAATAATAAATTTTCTTCAATCAATAATTGTAAAACCTTGGCAAGATAAGAGTGTAACTCCTCATCGATGACTTCTTGCATCTGGACACTGATACTAAAAAGCTCATCTAATTGTGACCTATTGAGAGAATTGTACAATCAAGACGAATTAGTATGCTGAATATTATTTTCTAATAACATATTAAAAGCAACAAAACTGGTTACAATATGGTAAGTAACCATATTGAATCCTCGGTCTAGATAATTTTTCTGTCCTTTTTGCTCGTTGTCAAATGTGAGAAATAAAAGACCCTCAGGTAATGGTTCCTCTTCTTTTGATAATTCATCTTGCCACTTTAGAAATCGACTATAGCTCCCACAATTTGTTATATGATTATCTATATTAATAACCAACTTTGATCGTGCAACTATATATTTAATAGCTGAAGCGGCAAAATAAATTTCTGATACATATTTTCCATGCCGAGCCCCGTATATTAAATCAACAGCAACAGCAGCTTTGAAAAGCTTTTCTGGACTTAAGTTATCAATAGCATAATTATTCTGAACCAAAGTCTTAACAAACTTGACAACAACTTTATTACGGCTATTGAGCCATTCCCGCAGGTTATAAACCATGAGATTATCTAAAGAAAACCTGCTAAATCAGTTAATAATGATATACGTTCTGCTTTAGCAATTTCAATAATTGCATCAATATGTTTTTGCTAACTAGCAAACCTCGAATTCCACTGCTCAGTAAGAACGTTATTACTTTCCAATTCCTTTTCACATGAATCTCACATCGCAATCATATTTTTACGGGACACCTGTAATTGCTTTTTTAATTCTTTTAATTCATTTTTTTGATCTTCGATATACCGATTCATTCGTTCAACTTGACTGTTGAGATCCACTATTAATTGCGATATTTGCTAATTTTCTTGTTGAGTAACTTCTAGAAGCCTTTTAGTTCTTTCAAGTTCAATCGCTAGATCGTCTTCATTTTCAAGTCAGGACCTTTTGCCTCCTTGAGAAGAACCTGAGGAACCTACAAGAGACTCATAAAATTGAGGATTAACAAAAAGTTGATTATAATGTATCTCACAAATCACATATTTTTCCAAAGGGTAGGAAGGTTAGTAAGTTCAGGGAAATAATTATAATAACATTAAAGTCGTTTAGAGGTTTTCAGACCCATTACACCTCGCTATTTTTGACATTCTTTCGTTCTACAAGGACTTAGCCCAATTTCATTATAGTTATTAACAAGACCTGCGAAAATACATATTTGTTTTTCCATTCTTGAGTTCTGGTAACAGAATGATGTGAAAGCCACTTAAATATACTAGTGAAACTACGGTTTTTTTTCTTTTTTTTCACTTCAGTATGCAAGAGCGATCATAAACTTATGGTCTCATCTACTTTTTTGAAAATGGTTTACTATGCGGGATTACTTGGGATTGTTGAAATTCATCGCTTTTTTTACCTATTTGTATATCGTTTAGTAACAATAAATATATAAAATATTGTAAAACCCCTAGCCTGAATATGAGCGTAAAAAGGAAGTATAACCGCCAATCAAATGCATGAATTTGTTTGTAGATTATTCTAGAAGCTGATTTCCAAATACGGTAATTTCCCAAACTGTAATTGCTAATAACTATAGTTATTAATATTTTATATATACTATACTATCAAGTATATAAGTATTGCTAAAAGAAAACCTAAAAATTTAAATATAAATCATATTTAAATTTTTAGGATTTCTTTTAGCAACACTTATATAATAACTTGAATTATAAATTATAGAAAATAAGTATAATATTTAAGAAATTTTCTATTTGTATACAGAGTGTATATATACGGGCAATATAGATATTTCAAAATTTTAACTATAAAATACCTTTTAGCTTTTAACAAAAAAATTTCTTGTGAAATTTCGGTATAAGCTATATTTTGTCTAATCTCAAACCAACCTTTACCCTAACTATAAGTGAGAGTTTAATTTTTCATTTGTAAAAATTGTTTTGATTAGCATATTACACAAATTTGTAATTCAATAAATTATATTTATGTATAAACACTATATATAAACTAATAAATTTTCAATATTTAATTACTTTATACTAAACTAATTTTATACAAATAATAATTTATTATTTATTTTATCTTTTTTTTTATCAAAATAAATAAGAAAATTACTACAAATCACTACTAGTGATTATTACCAGTGATTTACAATATATAATTAGGTATAATGTGTAAACTTTTTAAACAAAAATTTATTTGTTTTAATATTAGGATAAGGTAATAGTTTGATAATAAAGTTAAACAAAATTTATAATAAAATTTTGCAAGAAAATTTTTTGTTAGAGCCCGAAAGGTGGTTTCATAGACAAAATTTTAAGATAAGATTAATTTTTTAAAAAAATTCTCTGTTTTTGTTATACAAAACTAATTTGCACATTACATCTAATCTTGCAAATTGATTGGCTAATTATGCATTGATAATGATCACTAGTGATGATAAATAGCAAACTTCAATAAATAATTATGAAAAAATAAATCAATTGTGCTTATAAAAATTTATTGCTATATATATTAAAAAATTAATATGTATTCACCAGTTAATATCTTTCTTTAGATTAAATATCTTTTAAGTTTTTGCACATATATACATATAAATATAAACACAATTTACTAAAAATATAAATATAAATATGAAGTTATATATATTTATATATAATAATCATGATCATTAAATAATTATAATTGGTTGTTTAAATATATATAGCATAAAATAGCATAAGCAATTTCAACAGATTATATAGTTATTATGTTAAATGACTCAAAATATACAATTTGTGCAATGTATAATGCATATACGTTATAGACCAAATTATGTGCATATTATGCAGCATCATAATTCTAGATACTCTAGCACAGGCTTTGTCATAAGATTTTTGACCAATCAGAAACCAGCTTTACCAACACATAATCAAAACAGATAGATAGTTATTGAACTACACAGCCAATCAATAGATATTATTTATATATTATAATTTCTTTCATTTTAATTACAAAGTAAAATAACTCATGTTGCAAAAGAATCTGACTATTCATTCACACTTTAATAGCAATTTTACAATTACAAACATTCTATTTTATAAGCATCCTTCAATAGTTTTTCTTAGCATCTTACGTAATTAATAAAATTATATTATCGTATATATTAAATAATCCTATCGTGTTAAATATCTTTTAAGAAATATCATAACTTTAAAATAAGCCTGTGGAAGTTCAAAAATAAAAATTAACAAGTTAATAATTTAAAATAAAAAAAAAACAGCAAAAACAACGTCGAACTTTGTGAATTGAGCAGTAAAATATACTTTTATTACCACTTACTATAGAGTAGATAGTACAACCTTTAGCAGAACGACCTTTTCCAGCGTGATGCAGCGTGATGCAGCGTGATGCAACTTAAGTTTCTTGAAAAGACGTTCCCTACGAAGCTATTTTATTAGTAAAGTATCTGTGATTGGTTTTGTTTTTTAAAAATTTACTTATATCCGTTTTAAACTACTATTCTATATAAATACTTGTGTAACGTCGATCTCGGAAATTATCGGATACGAATGTCCTCCATGCTTCCAATTTAAAAACTTTTATAGTAAATCTCATTAAAATATTTTTTTACCATAAAAAGAAACCAAACTGCCTCTGGAAATCAATAAGATTTTGTAAGATCTGGGTAAATTTCGGCGAAAAAATCGATTGACATTAAAAAAATTTAGAAGACTTGCACGTCACCCGAAATTATTAACGAATAAACACCAAATTTCCGATTACATTTGATTATCACAAAACCATATTTTTTGGACTCTTTCTGCTACAAAGGCCCCACACTTTATGCCATTTTTAATCTTTATTTAGCTAATAATAATAACGATCTGATTTTAATTCGTGTCTCATTGATGAGTTTGGCGGTTATGCTAGGAGGATTAAGTGTAACGATTAAATATAAATGGGGTTCTTTTTTTGAAGTAAAATCAAGTGTTGTCTATTTCAAGTTACATATGAGTGCTGATAAAATAAATTTCATTATCATTTATTGGGTCGAGTATATATGCTTTCGATTACGCATTATACAATATCTTGCTGATTAGCATTTAGGCGGTACTCATATGACGATAGATCAATACAAAAAAGATTAGAAACTGAAACTGTCTCTTATTTCGCAAGAGCTCAACAATTCAATTTTGTCATATGAATGATATGCGTGGATTGATTGATATATTAAAAAAATAAAAATTTTGGATTCCCGGTCTGCTTACCCGCTCGGGATATTATATAAGTTTGTATGTAGAGTTCCAATCCATTAACTGTTTATCCATATATCCGTAAATCGTTATCCAAGTATTCGATCTGAATTTATCCGGATATCCGTTTGCTATTGGTATCTAAATAATTTATCTGAATAATTGTCGGATTATCCGGATATCATTAGTAAACGGATACCTGGATAAATTCAGATATGGATAAATGGATGACGGATTTATCCGGATTGGAACTCTATCAATTCGCTCTTCGGAGAAATTATGGCAAAAAAAAAAATTAAAATTGCATAATAACTGTTGATCATGGCAATTTTTTTTCTTTATAAAAAGATCATGAATTTTACGTTGAAGCTTAATAATTAAATTTTAAACAACATTAATCGAAAACATAGAAAATTATGAATCGAAATATTAATTTTGCATTCATTTTATTTGCTATGCTTTCCGTGGTTAATTCTTTGCCACATCAACTTAATAAAAGAAATGATTGGTCAACATGTTTCACCAATGAAGGTACATTTCCAAGACTTAATGTAGTCACCTCACCTGATACTCCAACCGAAGGTCAACAAGCAAAGTTCACAGTTTCTGGAAATATTCCACAAGATATCGATGGAAATGACCAGCTTTGGATAATATTTATCAATGATGATGATACAAAGGATGTAACTTCCTATAGCACACCTGCCTGTGGAGCAAATGATCTTCCTCAGTGCCCAATTAAAGCTGGAACCGATTTTTCTGTATTTATGGAAGTTGATTCTGTGCCACAATTTCCTGATGCCTTCGATATTTATGCTGTAATTGGGAATCCACCTGATACCACTAAAGCGTGTGCATATACTGATGAGTGGCCTGACGGTCCCTAACCACCTTGAGTTTGAATAGCGGGAGGCGTTATTTAACATTGTATAGAAAACAGAAAGTAGCACAATTTTTAATATGTTTACTATTTTCTAAATTTTATCCCGGTAGTTTCTTTTTTGGTTAGATCTACTTCACGTTTTTATATACTCTATTGCTGCTTTATTCTACTAGCGAATTCTCAAATCCCAAATCTATTATACGATTCGTATCTAATTTTTTTTTTACCTTAGCATAAAGAACTATTTCATTTATTAAGTTTCACACCATTTTACAAATGCTCTGATCCAAATTGTATGTTTATTTTCTGAATATATAATTAATATTTGAAAATTACTAACCACCAGCCTGGATGATTTTATTAAAAAACATCCCTATAATATATATT